TGGAGCAAGAAGTGTGAAACAGTCTGCCATATCAAAAGGCTTCCTAATCCTTTTCCTGATATTTAAGTACGTACTTTTTTCGGTCCCGTCGGCCTGAGCTCCATCACACTGACAGTGTAGTTTGTCCTTCGTCCTTTCTCGTTAAACTGAATGTGTCCCGTTAGGCCTTCAATCCGAACCTGAGTAAAAACCACATAGAAGATGCCTTTATTTAGACAAAAAATACATCTTTCCTTCCTTCCTTCCTTCCTTCCTTCCTCCTCCTCCTTCGAGGGGTGTACATCTCTCACAGCGCCTCTTCTGTGTGTACAATACTGAATGTCTCCCAGGCTGCATGATGGAGTAGCTTATCAAGTGAATGTTTCGTTTAAACTATAAGTGAAGAAAGAAGTGTGAAACAGTCTGCCATATCGAGAGGCTTCCTAATCCTTTTCCTGATAATTAAATACTTACTTTTTTCGGTCCCGTCGGCCTGAGCTCCATCACACTGACAGTGTAGTTTGTCCTTCGTCCTTTCTCGTTAAACTGAATGTGTCCCGTTAGGCCTTCAATCCGAACCTGAGTAAAAACCACATAGAAGATGCCTTTATTTAGACAAAAAATACATCTTTCCTTCCTTCCTTCCTTCCTTCCTTCCTCCTCCTCCTTCGAGGGGTGTACATCTCTCACAGCGCCTCTTCTGTGTGTACAATACTGAATGTCTCCCAGGCTGCATGATGGAGTTAATTGACCGAGTTGAACATCAATCTCCACGGCCTCTCAGCAGATGGACCAAATTGCCTCAGTCCAGCACACATCAGACTCTCAACAGACACAGCCACAGGCAACTGTGAGACAGAGTCGACTTCTGCAAGAAGAATGCTACACACTGACTTTACTACATTGTTTAAACTTTCTCAGACTTATAATTAAGTGAAAAGGAGAAACACGTGATATGGCTGGAAGAAAATACCAATTTGTGTACGGCTTCTCAAACAGAGAGCATTTCTACAGATTTCCATTAAATCAGATTTGGTTTCCGCTAACAAATTTTGCTCCACCTCGCCTGCCAAATTCTATCCTCGGCACCTAAATCTTCATACGCTGCCCAAGGCAAAGAGACAAACATCTGCCTTGGGTAACATAACAAAGCCAGGTGTTCTTTCCCTCACTTATGTCTTTGTAAATATAACTTGTCGTGTACTGTTATGACCAGCATACATGTTTATCACCAACTGGGTTCGTTTATTATCTAAAGTGTCACATTTGATTGTGATGGCCTCTTTGGGGAATCACTCTGAACTTTATGTGATGAAGATGTAATTGGCTTATTGGGGTTTCATTTTGTACACTCAGAATAGATTAGAGCCAGTGTCAGTCTTACAGATAGGAAAGTTTATGTTTGTGAACACTGTGTTCATTCAAAAATATGTCTGTGAGCAGACCCTACAGCGTGAGATACCTGCTGAAGTGCTCTCTGAATATCGATGCCTTGGCCCCAAGGTGCTGGTGGGTTGGCCAGACATTCTCCAGCATTTCCACGGCGAGATATATCTATCCTCTGCCTGCGGAGGTTCTGGAAGGCTGTGGACATGACTTTGACTCCATCATATGTGAGAGCTCCAGTATACTGCACAAAGAACGCAGAGAATGCAGAGAGACATATGAGAAGTATACATGTATTTAAATAAATGTGATGTTGTATTCTTTAAATATTATATAAATGATGATTATATATCATATTTCATAATATATCATATTCTATGTTAAAATGTGTTTAAATTGACTATTCAACTAAATGTGTATTAGAGAGAAGAATCAAAATCCTTTTGTATTTTGCCATCAGATGTTGATGCTATGCAACTGTGCTTTCTGCAAATGTTCCAGTGATTCATTATAACTTAATTACATGTTTTTTTTTTTTTTCTGTCAAGGCATATTCAGTTCTTCACACTGTGGATGATTTAAATGTAGTCAATTTTTGCGGCTCACCTTCAGTCTGCGCTTGGGAACTTTGGCGTCTTTGTTGTCAAAGTCCATCCACTGCTGCACTATCCTACTGATGTTAGGGTCTGCATAGTTCACCAGTTGGAACCCTGTTACATTCGCCTCACCCTTCTTAAACTCGGTCAGGTCGATGTCCAGAAATCCCTACAGGAGCACAGAGAACATGTTAGCATGACATACTGTGATTTAAGTTACTTAAGTTAAAAACACAAGTTCTCCATAGTGAAGAAAATAAGAAGAAATCCAAGAAATCTAATTCAGCCAAATGTCAATCATTAAAGAAAAGCCATTGACTAAATTCAAAAGGGAGACCAATTAGAGATAAAATGATATAAAATGACAAATCCCCTGCAATTGTCAAAAGAAATCCAATGTAAGACCTCGACAGAAAATGGAGGCTGAATTTGCAGCAGAGGGAGTCATTTTCGCATTAATGCTCAGGTGCAGCGAGAGCGCAGGAGGCCGGGCCTGTGGAGTGCAGTCAAATGTAATACAGGTTTTAAAACTATAATAGAAAGAATGGTTGGGTCAATCACTTAATGAAAAAGGCTAATTCCTCTCATCTACTGAGGCTGTTTATCCAAGAGAGCTTGGTTGTTATCCGATGTGGTGCCGGAAAATGCAGGAGCTGTGAATAGGAATTTGGTGTAAAAAAACAAAAACCGCAGCACTTACTGAGAGTTTGCCGGAGGTCTGTTTTTGATCCCACAGACTCTTTTTAGTAATTCAAGGCCTTTTCCCACAATCCAATCAGCTGCCCCAAAAGCAGCCCACACACTCACTGTACCTGAGACCATACAGAATTGATTCTAACCCGCTGAATTACTGGGAAGGTTTCACTTCATGATTTCTTCATGAAGCCGTTCATTTATTTGTATAAGCTCAATACAAATGTGTAGGTACTAAAGAGTTATTTGTGTTCAGCTCAACAACACAATACGTTGATGTGTGTGTGTGTGTGTGTGTGTGTGTGTTTGACTCAGTTCTGAGTGTAATAGCCCTCGTCAGGCTATAAGTGTGTTGATCTTTGATCTTTTATCCCTTAACTCGCTTTGTCCCCCAGGAGCAGTAATGTGTCCCTGTGTTCCCTGGGAACATCTGCTCCGTAGGGCAGCGAACAAGATTCACTGCGCTGCTAACATGACCTCACGCTTGTGTCTTACCTCAAATACCCTCTCTCACACATACTCAAACTCAGAGGAGTTTTTGTCCTTTTGTTGCTTGTCAGAAGCGCATGATTGTACAGTACACATGGCAGATCGTGTAACATCAGTGTTTTTTATGTCAGACTGTAGGATATAAATCTTGACACATTTGTCACATTTGACAGTGTCGACTGGGCAATCAATCATATCACATTCTGACATCCTCACTGACAGGCAAAAATGAAATGGCACCGCAAACAAGTCCCATAAGCTAATGTTGATCCATATCGGTTGCCCACTAATTTAAATAGAAAGAGGGCAGGGCTGTCAGCCTAAATACTTTGGTGCCAAAGACCTCAAAATATACTGTAATGATCCACCTAAAATAAAATATAAAATATAAAGGCAACTATGAGCTGCCATTCAAAAGTCTGGAGTCAGTAAGCTTTTTACTATTATTTCAATAAACATTTTTTATTCAGCAAGGTCACATTAAATTGATCAAAAGTGTTATTAAAGATTTTCACAGTGTTAGAAAAAAAAATCAATTTAAAATAAATTCTGTTCTTTTGAACTTTCTATTAATAAAAAAAATCATAAAAAATGTTTCCATGAAAATATTAAGAAGCACAACAGATTTCAACATTAATAATTATATGTTTCTTGAGTAGCAAACCAGCATATTAGAATGATTTCTGAAAGATCGTGTGACACTGAAGACTGCTGCAGAAAATTCAGCTTTGCCATCAGGAATAAATTACATTTTAAAATATAGTCTCCCTATTGTAACCAACCATTACACAGGGACAGCTCAAAGTCTCCTGTAACGTCAAATCAATTCTTGGAGGGAAGCACTATCACACAGCTGGCCTCAGGGCTAAAGCATCACGCAACCTTGTTTCACAGCCTCATCACTCTCTACGGTGAGAGTGAATGAGGCAATCAGAGATACGCAGGCTGTCTGCATCACTGCACATATTATGCAGGGCTGTTACTGAGCACACGACTGGGACGCATGTCATCACAAGCTTTCAAATCTGAAACATGGCACATTCTTCCCTCAGTCAAGATGACTGCAGTCTTTGGAGGCAATCAAGAGCTCATTTGCCAAACAAAAGAGTTTTTATACTAAATTAAAGGAGAAAACAAAGTCATGCAGTTTGCAGAAAGAAGCTTTCACTGATTTCAAAAAACAAAACGCTCATGAAGACACTTCTGATTCTCTTAGCTGGAGTACAAGTAATAGTGATGTTTGCCTTAGCAACAGATTGCCAACAAATTGGCATCTGAGTAGTTGGAGAGCACAGATAAGGTAACATAGTAAACAGTACAGCATGTGACCTGTCTGCCTGGTTAAACACACCAGAGGACACTAGGGCCATGTCCACACGTACACGGGTATTTTTAAAAACTGAGTTTTCCTTCCGTTTTAAAAACAATCTCCATCCACATGAAAACGCAAACGCATGCTATGAATCACTGTCAAGAGCATGCCAAACCAACAGGTGGCGATATAATCTCAACCGTAAAGCCATGTTGGCCAATCAGAAGCCTGAAAAAGTCTCCAGTAGGCGGAGATAACAGCGCAGGCGCCAACGTCACAAGCCAAAAACTCCGGTTTCGCTGTCTACACAACAACACTGCAACCGGAGTTTTTAAAAATCTTCACCCTGGCAGGCGTTTTCAAAAATGTTCGGTTTCAGTGAACTGGTGCTGTGTTTGCGTGTGGACAAACAGACTAACCGCGTAGAAAAAGCTGCGGTTTTAAAAATAACCGCGTTCGTGTGGACAAGGAGTCTATAACCAAGCGAGAGATGGAGGAGAAATGGGGCCAGGAGTCAATTCAGATGTCTCTGATTACAACAGCGAGCTGTTTTTGAAGCACTGCCACAGCTCTCTCATGATTGGCCCTGTCGTTCTCATTTTTATTTTTTGGCCAGCAGCATGTCTTTTGGCATTCCCTCTCATGTCGACTATCTGCTCTCATAGCAACAGTGACATGGAACTGAGAATGTTTCCTGGTGATGATGTCCTTCAGTTGTATGTGGCTGATGGAATTGATCACAGGTTTTTGATGGATTTCGTCAGTATTTGCCAGTCTTGTTCTCTCAGCTCAGCCTGATTATTCTCGATTTCAGGCGTAGGTGGTCCTCCCACTCTAGAACTACAGTCAGGGCTTTTGCCCATCTGATCCTACACAAACTCACTGTAAACCAAGTGAATGATTTAAGGAATGCAAGATTTTGGGCAAATCATAACAGTCAATGTATATGTAGAATGCGAGATTTGAGGGATGCGTCTCCTAAACATGCAGTATGATAACCTGGACAGCCTCTGTCTGTGTTACATCATCAGGAGATTTCCCCAATACTGCAAAAAACAAAGTGGTTTTAAAGTGATTTCTGTGTGACCTGTGCTATATAAATCTCTACTCTATTGATAATAGACCTTTTTTGCACACTACACCGTAACAGTTTTTTTTTTTTTTTGGTGAATCATATTTTAGTGCTGTACACAAAAATATTTGTTTTTACATGCAGCCCACAGGGACTCAATAGAAAGACATTTTGTTCCATTATTTTGCAGTACACTTAAAAAAAAAAATTGCATCACATTCAAAACAAACCGCAAACACATAATCACATACTCAGAAAAATATATATTTTGCCATGGTGCTAAAGATGGTAGCGTCATCTAGGAAACACTGATACAGGGAACGTCATAACTTTATATATTATGAAAAAATTTTTTTTTAAAAACAAACAACAGGAACCACGAATAAATGTCTGGATTGCTGAAATGAAGATTGTGTTTAATTTTAAAATCATTAGTTCCCCATCTTAGTCTCTCCTCTGTGATGTACCTGTATCAGGTGTCCATATCTCTTGACTGAATGAATTGAGTTGTATCTTTTTCCGCTCTGTGTCGCTGTGAATGTGGTGCGGTGAGTTGGTGATGTTACTATAGAAACTAGCCTTCACCCAAAAGGCTTGGGAAGCTTACACGAGCATCCACTCAGATACGAACCTCCATGTACATGAACACACACTTACACATGCAAACACAGTGTAAATAGGAGTGACACTGGGAGTAATTAAAATTTGGCCATTATGGAAATAGCAGGCAGTTCTTTCTTTATTGCTTTGCAAACTTTATCATTTATCATTTACAATTACATCTAACAAACTGGCCAGACCAGTTTAATTTAAAATCCTCAGCAGTGTGCCATCCAGGAGCACACCACAGCATATTAATGCTGTGATTATCATCATTTCTGTTTACATCAATTTAGCCCTCCATTCTCATATGCTGAGCGCACCTACAGACAAGGATTGCAGAAATCACTTGTAGTTTTTCATATTCACAAAGCAGTTCTCCAGGCAATGTTTATATAACATCTCGTCTGTTAGTCATAGTGAGCAGCTTCTTGCAATTGGTCAGTAGTGAAAATATGCAAATCACCTGTAATATCAAGAGTTGCAGTGACATTTGAAAGCCTCATGCTGAGCATTAGTCATGAAATCTCTCATAGTGCTGAAATTAGTGGTGTGTTTTTAGCTTACCAGGTTTGCTAGGATGTAGTGGTAGCTCTTCACATTCTTCCCCAGCTCAATGATCTGAAATAGACCAACAAATGAAGGTGAAAAATTACAGCAGTTTGTATTAATTGAGGTATACACAGCATTAGAAAGTTCAAGTTCAAGTTCAAGTCTGCTTTATTGTCAATTCTTCCACATGTACAGCACATACACACAGAGAATTGAAATTGCGTTACTCTCAGACCCTTGGTGCATACAGATAACACTAACAGTGAAGCCTTGAAATATAAAGCCTTGTTAATATAAATAAATCATATAAATCACACTGTAATGTAATATTTGCTGTATTATTACATATAATTCCAAATAAGTTTTTTTGTCTTTCACAGCAATCATCAATTAAATCAGTAGGTAGTTAATGTGTGTCACTGTGCATGAGTTTTTAAAAATGACTTTTCTTCTTGACTATTGGTGAGAGTAAGGATAAGGGGCAAGGAAGACGTGTCGAGGTTGGTAAAAAATGTATGCACTGTCTTTGGGGAAACCCATTTATACAATTATTACTGAACCACGATCAAAAAAAGAACAAAAAATCAATAAAACCAATAATAACAAAATAAAATTATTATAATATAATATAATGATTATCGCAAAATGTAAACTTTATTATTGCCCAGCTCTAATCTGTCTAATGCGACTAAGGCATTAAGATATTCAGATATCCAAAACATTAACATCCTGATTTTTTGTAAAGCTGCACAATTGTGTATTGTGAAACATGCTATACAATTTGTTCCTACTATACAAAGTTTTTCGTACTTCAAACCGTCTACACCAAAGTAATGGTTTCAATTTAATTAAATGGTGTCAATGCATGAATGCAAGTCATTTTAGATAAAAGCATCTGCCAAGTGCGTAAACAAGTAACATTTAAACAATCATAACAACAATGGCACATTTTCTTTAAGCATACACCCACCAATCGCTATAAAATGACTACATTCCTGGGGTTAAATCTTTACATTGAGTTTAGGGTGTTTCAGAATCAAGATGTTTTCAAAGTTACAAAGAGGAGAGGAATGAAGATTTATGATGCAGGATTTCTTTTGTGTGGCTATAGAGATAACAGAGCCTCTGCAGGCATGGAGAGTACAACAGTGATGAAAAACAATGAGTTATACGCTGACGGGGGAGGAACACATTAGCAGTGCTCTCAGTTCTGTATGGTACACTACACTGACCGAGGGTCACAGCTTTAACCTGTGTGGATGTACACGAGCGCGTAGTGTGCAGTGTCAGTGGGTACCATAGACTTTGACACCATCAAACTGTTATGATGGCTTCAATTAAAGAAACTCCTCTGCATGTGCTAGGGATTGTCCAGGAGTTACCGAAAGCTTAGAAATAACAATGAGCGACCATGAAGGCACACTTCTGTGACCAAAATGTATGTATGTAAGTATCTCTCTCACACACTTCTCTGTAAATTGAAGTTGTGAAAACTGACAGTGATAGCTTGTGGCCATGACAGACAGTAGCATTAGTTATTAATGGTGACCCCAGTAAGATTTCATCAGGCAGGCCAGCCCAGGGCAGGGAACACTACTAACAAGGACACTGCTTGATCTTCTTGTGTTTCAATGCGGGATCAACATTAAAGACATAGTTCACCCAAAAAATAAAACTCACCTTCATGCAGTTCCACAGAAGAAATAAACAACATGTGGGTTAGTAAATGATTACAGAATTTTAATTTTTGGGTTCTATCCCTTTAATACGGTGGTCGAGAAGTGCTCACAATCAAATCACAAATCACAATTCTGAAAACAAAATAACAAATTACAAACGCAAATGCAAGTCTAAAAAACAAAATAACAATTCAGAAAGCACAACAATCCGTGTATCATTCGATCATTCGTTTTTTGATTTAATATTGAAAGTAGAAAAATGAGAAAATGGCTCCTTTTCCGGTTTTTTTTGTTTTTTTCCAAAAAACGAAAAAACTAAAATTCAGCTTAAATTTTCGTGTGTAAATAGGTATTTGCACTTAGTGTAAATAGCATATTGCTAAAAATACTGCTATTTTCACTTAGTGTAAATAGAATCCATTGCTAATACGAGATTTGAAAAGTTCGGCAAAAGAAGGGATCGAACCCGGGTCGATCGCGTCAAAAAGCCAATAACACGCGCTTATCCATCTTCACCACTGGAGCTGATAATTTACAGCCACTTTTAACTAAATGTAAATATACACTCTGTATTTTTTGTTATAATGTTTTCTGAATTGTTGTTGTGTTTTCTGAATTGTTATTTTGTTTTTTAGACTTGCATTTGCGTTTGTAATTTGTTATTTTGTTTTCAGAATTGTGATTTGTTTTGCACTTCTCGGCCACCGTACTTTAATGCAGAACACAGGAATGACACTGAAGCCCTCAAAAACTTGAGATTCGTTTTGTGGTTTTTAGTCCATTTCTGTAAAAGCATTGCGCTAATTTATATGAAAGTATGTTCCAAAAACTTGTAGCAGAAGCACATCCTGGAAAGTGGACCAAAAATAATGATGACTTCATCTCTTGCTAAGGGTGTATACTCATTATTTCAATAAAAAGCACTCCAGAAATGAAACTGTCCCCTCTTTGTAATACCACATACCACCGATTAGATGAAGCAAATCATAGTCTTCCTGGGCTGTGATAAACGAATGGCTATTGGCTTTCCGTGTTATTTTAAGTGTAAGTTTTTTCATCTAATATTTATATTGAATTTTATTTCAGCTTTAATTCAATTAATAAAAAAAAAAAAAGTTAATAGTTTTAGTTAACAATAACAATGTTGGCTAGAGGTGGGCGCTATGACCAAAATCTTATATCACGATATGACTAATTTTATATCACGATAACGATATATATCACAATATAGTTATTTTTTTCTTTTAAAAAGGTTTTTATGATATTAAAATCTTTGATACCATATAATTTTCATAATCCTTGTCACCAATCTCAATATCAAACTAATACAAGCCTAAAAAAAACCTCAAGCTCACTGAAGATAAATAAACAGTCAGTGATGAAATAAGTATAAGAAACTAATTCCAAGCAATAGGACAAAAAACTACAATAAATAAGAAACGCTACATACATTGTGTAATTTAATTAGTCTTCAGTTAATTATATCTATCTATCTATCTATAGATTGTTGTTAAAACTGCAGTGCTAAAAAAACGCATGTCCATGCTACAGATGTAGGCTAGTCCCTCGTTTAGGAACGAGCTACTTGTTTTGTCCTGGCTAATCGTTCTGCACCTGATTCTGTCTCCCCGTCACACGATGGTGGCGTGTAAAGATCGCAGTCACAGGGGCGGATCTACCGGGGTGGCACGGGGTGGCAACTGCCACCCTTAGAAAAAGCTGTGCCACCCCACCTGCACCTGCCACTCCAGAATTATCACAGAATAAAATATAAATGTAAATTAAAAATAATGGCAAAAACACGGCTTTTAATAAACTGTGCACGATGGTTGCACGTGCATGCAGCATGCCAGTGTAGTCGGCTTCATTAACAAATGACTCTTATGAACCGGAACTTTTTGAGTCAAAACCACAAAGCGCAGCCCAGTTCACTAACGAATTGTTTTTACATTTGTTTGTGAATCAGATAATTACTGCTTTTCAGGTAACTCAGAATTCGTCTGAGAAATCTAATCCCGTCCGGATATGTCTTGAGATTCATCACGTAATTGTTTGGTGATCCGATTCTCCGACCGCTCGCTCCACTTTCATCATGGATACAATACCGCAACAATAACATGAAATCAATAAGATGCCGATCACAGAAACTAATAGCAGAGTTAGGTAAGAATCTAGTCGTATTGCAGTTTTCTCGATTGTTAATATAACTGATTTTAGTTGGCACTTTTT